CTTTGGTCATAATAAAAAAAAACACTCCTAGCCACTTACGATGACATTTCCGGTCATGGGTTCCTATGAAAAATTAATCTTGATGATGTGCTTTAACTTTCCTAGAAGTTTTTTGAAATATTTTCTTGACCCCCCCCCTCCAGTTATATATAACGTAAACTTGTACATAACAAGAAAAAATAGACTAAAAAGGCCATTTTTTAAAAAAAAATCTGTACCTTTAGAAGCAACACTAATTTCAAGTTTGAAATCCTTACACCCACCGAAATCCACACCAGTTTTTCCATGTACCTTGATCTCTAATTTCATTCAAGTTTTCTCCAACATTAGCAAATTTATAAGCTATGTTTACGTTCAAGTTTAACACCGTATCGTTTAATTACGTTTAAATGGGATGAATCAGCACAAGGATTTAAAAAATCTCACATTTTTTACATGCCTGAAAATCTTTACCTATTATTAATCTGTTTATCAAAAGTGACATTGAAAATATTATATTAAAGTACGAAACATTAAAAATAACATAACATTAAAAACTATTTTTAGCAGTTTGAGATTAGCAATTATTATCAAGGAAAAGTTTTGAACGAATAAGACCTGATGGAGTACATGCAGAGCATATTGTTAAGAACAAGTATATCAAAATTATTAAATACTATTGATTAGTACATGATTCCTTTAGCAGGTCATTTTAAAACGATGTTATAAACTTTTATAAGAACTATTTTACTTTGCACATCGGCAAGGGTAAACTATTTTTTTCTTAAAAATAAGCATGACTATAAAACAAACCAACTTTGATTCTTATTTATATAATTTGATTTTATAATCGTCGTTGAACAGCTGGCCCAATCTTACGTTTATAACTACTAATGTTCAACTGCGTAGCCTCGTAATTTTGAACCCAATCTTAAAGACAAGGGAACTCCTGGATTAAGTATTGGGAGAAATTTGCCTTCATGGAGGACTTTTTGATAGAACTAACCCGCATTTGCGTTACTTAGAGAGGAAAACCTCCCACTGTTAGCCTGATTGCAAAGGGACTCTTACCCATAATCCTTCTTCCACTGAGAAAAATTTATGTCAGCCCTGCGGTCGGTGCGAGCTGGCTGCAGAATTCATAATGACCAATAATCGCTGGGATTCGAACCCGATTTACCTCATTGAAAGGCTAGCGCTCTATCCCCTGAGCCATCACTGCTCTATTTATATGATTCTCATTTATTCAGATAATTAAATTCAGAAACATTTATGTCTTAGCAAATAAAATCCTTTTCCCCCTATTTGGTGTCATTATTTCGCCCCTTCTGGCATTTTGGTTAGTTTTTCCAAATATAGCAGATATATAATCTGTATTTTACAGTACTTTTGATTGAATATTTACGTACCCGTCCAGGCATTTAAGAAAAAAATATATATGCCCGATCTAAATTTTTACATGCCCCGGGAGTATCGAACAATCTAGTTCTAGAACCTTAGTATGCAAGATAATATAATTCAACTTAGCTCGATATTAAGGTTGCAGCAAACTAGCATGATATTACGGTTAAGCACGCTCTAAAACTTTTAAAACTACACTGAAAAAAAGTACAATCAAAACTGCCAGCATTTGGCAAAAACAAAAAACTCGGTAATTATGGTTTTATAATACATGATCAATTTGGTAAATGTGGTAATATTTAATATTTTTATCATGATACTTTAAATCATGTTATAAAGATTATTTATTCGGTTAAATTTACTTTCCATTGTTGAATTTTCTTACTAAATGCGTGGTAATAAGAACTAAAATTTTGAAAGCCAAAATTTCCGGTAAATCGTTGCCTTATCAACGGAAAATCTATCTGGTTAATAAACCCAAAACGGAATTTTGGGTTCAATAACCAGAATTATGTGATTTTTTTTTCTCCGCGTGTATAATTGTGTGCATATATTATTAAGAGCTGGATTTGTTTTATGTTTCTGTTAAAATACTTACATTTTAAAATCCAAAAAATATTCGTAATTCACAATGAAAAATGACAATTTTTATAAAAATGAATATAAAAAAATTATTTACGTTTATTTGAAAACTCATTGATTTGAGCTCGCTACATTTCGATTGAACAAGTAATTGAACAGATGTCCTCATTTAAAATTGCGACTCTTTAAACCACGTATTGAAGAACTCAACATTTCTTAACAACATTTCTCTATTCAGATACAATTACATCAAGATTCAAATCAGTTTCTTAGATTTAATTAATTTTGCTACATTTACAAATCAACTTTTTAAATCCCACTACATAAGTATATTTTTATGTCGTATGTTCAGAAATCTAACTTTTTCAATCAAAGAAACCGGATATAAACGTATCTCTGTGAGTCGATATTAAATAAAAAGATCTCTACTCTGTTTCAAAACAAAGAAAAGTTTTAAGAGGTTGCAAAAAAAGCCCTCCATCTAATACTAAGTGTCACTCCTTTTGATTCAAGTGTCCTTTAACATTGTTATTACAGCATCACTCCACAAAACTATACCTCCTTGTCAGATCTGGTTGAAAGCCAAGTAACATTTATCAAAACATGTCACTTTACCATCCTTTTAAGGTATTCTAAGATCTCTTAAAGCCATTAGATACATGTTTTATGCAACTTATAACTCTAAAAAAACTGTTTTCTTTAAGATTTCTTTCAAAATAAATTATAATGCATGATTCTTCGAATAATTTAAAAAGCATTAATGTTTAAGAATTTAAAATCGTAAATTTAGCAACCTAGAAACGCACTTCTTATGTATGGATATCTATTTTTTTTTCTCTTTTGATGTTGAGACTTCAAGAATTTAAAGTCCATTAAAATTTACTGCAGTTACTGAATTGAATTGAATGAAGATTTTAACTAAAAAAGAACCGGACGCTTTAATTCAACGCAAAATTCAAACATTACATAGACGAATTTACTCCTTTTCATTGTTTGACATTGATTGTTAAGTGAAATGGTTTCATACACGAAATCTGATGCAAAAACTGAAAAGGGAGAAATAGAAACGGAATTCGAAGTGCCTGTGTCTGTGGAAACTGTATTTACAGTAATTTTAACTACCATGAACTTCTTAGGCAACGTTCTTAGGTAAACAAGAACTTCTTAGGTAACATAAAATGCGTAGTTACCTACAATTATTATTTTTTTCTTTTTCGATGTTGAGACTTGTAAAATTTAAATTCCATTAAATTCGCAGCAGTTATCTATGGAATTTAATTAAACGTAGATTTTAACTACAAAGGTGCCGAACACCCTCATGCAGCGCAAAATTCAAACGACATATTACATCGACAAATTTTCTTTTTGTTATTGATCATGAAGTCAAACGGTTATATACACTAAAACTCATACAACTGAAGAAGAAAAAGGAAAAATAACATTTAAAGTCTGTAGTATCTGGGGCAGTGGAAACCGTATTTACTGTTTAAAAAATGTGCTATACCTACTGTTAAGGGTTTTAATTTCTTAAAAAATATGAACCAATTACGAAAGAAAATAAACTCCAATTTCTTGGTTATTAGAGACTTAAGTAGTAATTTAACAGAAATATATTGAAGAAAATAATCCCCCAGGCATTGCTCTAATGTCTTATTATCAAATATAGTCTTATCTCACTATGAAATAATAATAATTAAACAATACTACAATACAAAATTTATCTATAAAGTAAGAATAATTCCTACTAATTACAAAAGTTAATCAATTAATAAAGTTAGAATAGTAGTTTAAAATTACATAACAAAAACTTATTAATATCATTCAAGAAAAATTTGAATCCAAATTTTATATACTCTCAAACAAATAATTTTGTACAAATTTTATATGTCCTTAAAAATTACTTTTTTTTATGTGAAATCCAAAATTTTTAAGAAATCGATTGATTATTTCCTGACAAATAAATTTAAGCTGTTTCATTTTTGATTCATGACGATTGGATTAAAAATTCTTAGAGTAAAATCGTTTTTTTTTTCTCTCATTTTAAATTTTGAAAAAAAGCATTTTGAAATGCTTTATATTTCTTCGAGCAATTGTCTGTGAAAAGTAGCAAAATTCACTTTATATTTAAAAGTAAGAATTTCAAAGATAGAATTGCTAAAAATTTAAATTCGGTTCTGGTTATGTTTGATATAATTGTTAAGCAAATCAATAATTTTAGCAATTTTATCGTTTTTGTCGAAAATGCAGATGTTCAAGATTAAGTTTTTAAACTATTTTAAAACATATTTGAATAAAATAACATTTTTGTTCATTAATTTTTGAACTAATTATTAACAAAGTTTAAGCTAACAATCAAAGAAAACATTTCCTTCCTCTGATTGCTAATTTCTGAGATATATTTTTACTAAGAAACATGTTTTCACATTCCATTTTCATTAATTCGAAGTCAAAATTTCTCTTGCTGGTAATTTAGTCTCAAGTTTTAATAAGTTTCATGACATTTTATTTGATATAAGCTTTTTTTTGGGGGGGCGGGGTAATGGCGGGCACTTGGGTCTGTTTCCCTTTGGCCTCAGAAATGCCAGAATTGCTACTCTCTTATCATTACCCAGTGAGCACCTATGGCTAAGCCAAGGCGGTGGAGTAGCGTCGCCTACGTCATACAACCACAAACCCGTTTATAGGGTGGGTTAAATTCACACAATCACACGGAAGAAGGAACATAGAACACAGAGAAAGAGAAAGAAACATCCATGCCCTGAGCGGGATTCGAACCCGCAACCATCTGCTCCGTAGTCAGGCAAGCTAACCACTCGGCTACCTGGTCGGCTATTTGATATGAGTTGGCACATAAATTTGAGAAATAAGGAAATATTTATAGAAAGGAGAAAAAAAATCAAAACTCTATAGCATATACTTTTTAGTTTATTATCAGATTTCATGCAGGCATAAAATTTTTAATTTTAGAATTTTTATTAAATTATTAGTATATTATAACAGGTTAAAGAAAGTCATTAATTCTTACTATTTTTTTCCAGAGATCTGAGTTGGAACAATATCCATGATTTAAGCAATGAAAAATTCAGCCATCTTTCTCGTTTACAAGAATTGTAAGTTTTCCTTTCTTTTTTCTTTGACCAATATAAAACAAAATATTACAAATTATTTTATCACTTTTACGAATATAT